CACACACACACACACACACACACACACACACACACACACACACACACACACACACACACACACGCACACACACAGGCTCCTCCTTTGTACGGTGGCGTCGCACCTGCAGGATCCCGACCTGCAAGAGCGCGCCAGCCAGGTCCTGCTGAAGTTCCACGAGCCGGACCTGATCGAGCGCTGGGGCGGAGCCGATTCACATCGGTCCTCCTCCTTCTGGGACATCACCAGTGCCGTGACCTACTCGGTGTCCAGCCAGATTGTCAACTTCCCGCAGCATGACTCTTCGGTGCTGGGCCACCTGGACGTCCTGTTGCAGATCCTCAAGCGCCGGAATGACTTCATCTCGCTGCATTGCATCGAGCTCACCAAGAAGGACCAGGAGAAGCACCTGGTCACCTCGCGCATGCTGGAGTCCACCCTGCTGATTCTCTTCTGCTCGGCGGAGCAGCGCGTGTGTGTCCTGTCGGCGCTCTGCCTGCAGGAGCTCTGTCGCGAGGCCGACAGCCTCAAGACGCCGGATGCCCCGCGCGCCGGCCGGGCCGGGGCCGAAAACTTCTCCATCTACCGGGAGCTGGTGCAGGCAGTGCTGCAGGCCCGCGGTCGGGCGGCCCTCTACGGGGCCGTGTGGCGGCATTTGCGCATGATGAAGACCCGGTCCGATGGCAGCCTCATTTCCTGGTTGGATGCCTTCCGCCGGTGGAGTACCATGATGCCGCAGATTTCCCAGCAGGGGGCCGGCGCGCTGGTCGGCGATGAGGCGGACCTTGGGGACCTGGCTTCGCCCGGGTCCGGCCCGACTGGCGGGTCCTCCTGGGGGAGTCTGTCCTCCAAGTCCGATGCCGATGATGACCGTCGCTTCCGTCCGTCCAACTTGCTGACCAAAATCCGCCCTCAGCGGTGCGTGCCACGGCGTGGTCCTTCGCGGCTGGCCCTCCTTCCTTTCTTGCCCTGGGTGTCATGTTTCTTTGGACACTCACATGTCATGGCTCCTCTTCTCCCTCCCTCCCTCCCTCCCTCGCGGTCTCTTTCTCCCCCCCCCCCCCTCCCCCTCGCCCTTCGATTTTGCCCTTCCCCTTTTCGCCCTCCCCTCTCTCCTCTCCTCCGCCTATGTCCCATGTCCCCGGTGCTTGGCATGTCCGCGCCCGATGTTGGTTTGCTTCCATTTTTGACGCCGGTTCCCCCCCCCCCCCGATGGCAGGCCTGCGGCCGAGGCGGCTGCGGCGGCCGCGGCCGCCGATGCCGTTGATGACAGCGGCGTGTGGCTGAACTACGTCGGGTTCCTTTGCTCCCTGGGCGGCATCTGCCTCGTCCAGTCAAAGACCTCGACCGAGAAGAACACCACCAATGACCCGAAGTACTTCATGAATGACTTCGTCAATGGCCTCATCGACTACATGGTGTGCGACAATGTGACCATCCGCATGAAGGTCCAGAAGGCCGTGGCCATGGAGCTGTCCCCTTCGCTGTTCTACATCTTCTTCGAGGCCCTGCTCAAGCGCTCGACCATGTACCTTGGCCGAGCCGGGGCCGGGGTCGGTGGGGCTCTGCTCAGCATGGAGCCCCCGGCGGCGGATGGCACGGACGCGGCAGCCACGTCGGCGGCGCCGGGGGCCGGTGTCGCGGCCGCCAGCGCCCCGACCCCGGGGGCCGACGCCGGCGTCTCCGCCCGAAAGGCCATCCTGCTGATCGAGCAGTCGGTCATGGTCATCAAGATGATTGTCTCGCGGTTGACCTCCTTCAGCGAGCATCTGGCCGCCGTGGATCTGACCCAATTGCTGCTGCTGTTCATGAACTACCTGAACACCGACCAGTCCAACCGGCGGCCCTTCCGCCGGGCCAAGATCACCCTCTGCCAGCTGATCGATGTGGTCCTGTCGAAGCGGGACTTCCTGGCCCTGCGGTCGGAAATCCAAATGCGCAACGACATGATCGGCATCATCATCCGGTGGATGAGTGACTTCGTCGGGGAGGCGGCCGAGGCCGGTGGAGCCGGCAGCGGGGCCGGCCCGGCCGGGCCAGCTGGCACAGGCCCCGGCTCGCAAAGCGCCTCCGGGCCCGGGTCTCCGCGTTTGTTGGAGTCCGGGCCGGCCACCGGCGCCGGGTCCAACACCGGGTCCATTGCCGGCTCGGGGGCTGGGGCCGGTGCCGGGGCTGGCACCGGTGCCGGGCAGTCCCGTGCTCCGGCCGGGGCGGGCTCCACTTCCGGCCCGAGTGCTGGCGCTGACAGCACATTGGCCAATGCCGGGGTCGGCATGGCCGGGATGGCCGGGTCTGGTACTCCGTCCGGCGCGCCGGTCGGGTCCGGCAGCATCGGCCCCGGGGCCCTGACCATCAGCGGCCCGATCGGCCTCAGCCATGTGAATGGCGTGTCGGCCTTCTCTGCCGGGGTGGCCGGGGCTGCCGGGACTCCCGGGGCGGGAGCCGGCGGGGCCGGCCTGGCCGGGGCAGCGGCCACCGGGACCGGGCCCCCGGCCGGGGGCAACTACCTCGGAGCCGATGTGGCCGGGGCCGCGCCGCACAGCGCCAACCCCGCGGTCATCGGCCTGATCATGACGCGCTACGCGCAGAACCGCAGTGCCAAGGAGATCTACGAGTTGGACATCGCGGTGATGCGGGCGGTGGTGAGCCTGCTGCACCAGCTGCCGCTGCTGCCCACCGAGGAGGAGGCGTCCTCGGATTCCGGGGGCTTCGGGCGCTTCCGCCTGCATTTCAAGGCCCTCGAGCAGGTGATCGATCGGTGCCTGGTGCTGGACCGGTACCTGAAGCCGCTGGCCAGCGAGTCCAACATCCTCAAGGACTGGAGCTCCTTCCACTGGGATTTGCAGCAGCTCCGGGACACGGTCATCTTGGCCATCTCGCACATGCTCTCGGCCAATGTCCAGAGCGGCTTGCAGCTGTCCCTGGGCCTGGGCTACCACATCGACTCGAAGATGCGCACGGCCCTGATCCAGGTCCTGACGCACATCCTCAACCAGGGCACGGAATTCGGGGACCTGGCGGACAATTCCCCGGAGGAGCGGTGCACCCGGCTGATCGACGCCCTGGTGGCCGACATCGACAAGTGTGCCATCCTGCTGCGGCTGTGTGTGATCACTCCCTCGCAGCATTTCAGCCGCCTGTTGCCACACGTCCTGGCGGCCACCGAGCGCCGCGGTCGTGTGCTGCTCCTCATGCGCGGGATGTTCCATCAGGAGGTCCTGTCGACGTACCTGCCGACCGAGCTCTTCCGCGCGAACTCCAACACCACCCGCATGTATGGCTTCTTCTTCAAGGTCTACGGGTGCGTGCGCGCCGGCTCGGCCCAAGGGCGGGTCTGGGGGGGGGG